TTCTCCTGACCAGTATCAGTTTTTAAAAACCAGAGAGAAACTAGCACATGCCTTTTGTTCATTAGAACAGGGAAAATTTCGGTATTCCTAAACCTAACCACTTGGAACCACAGCACTCTCCTTCAGCTGCCACACCTCCCTGGGCCACTGCCAAAGTGCACGTGCCCCGTCACAGCCCTGCCTGTGGGTCCTGCCTGGGTGAGAGCCTCCAGGACAGAAGCATTGTACTCCCTGCCCAGTTGTACTCTTCGTCCTGAGCTCTAACAGCTCTATGACCTTGGAGACTTCTCCAAGCCTGTTTCCTCATCTGCAAAATGGGGGTAATAATGAAAGCACCAACACTTGTTGGGTTATGAGAATTAAAGGTAGTAAGTTCCATATGGCGCACAGCATGGTGCCTGGCACAGGGTAAGCACTCAGTAACTAGCAGGAACATTTTTTTTGTCACCCTGTATGGTTATAGCACTCAGATAACTCAGTACCTAACTGAACAAAAGTCCATGGAAGAATGGGGAGTCAGAGTTGCCACAGCCCCTGGTCCTCCTTCCGGACTTATTCTTACTAATGTAATCTCACTTGCTGATTTCATGAACATGCTGACTCCCTATGTCTCTCTAGAAACTCTACATCATATGGCCCTGAAGATGGGACAGTAATTTAAGGAAACATGCTGCATAATCAGTAAATTAAAAGTATCTATTTCACAAAAATAGAAACTGGTAACTGGCTACCCTGAGGACAACTGGGTGGCTTGGAGTCAGGGATTGGAGATTGACTTTTCATTGTATACCATTTTCTTTTGAATTCTGAACATCAATTATATCTAACCTATTGGGTTGTCAGAAAAGTCATGACGCATTTTTGCAATGAAAAACAGAAAAAATACATCATGACTTTTCCGACAACCCAATATATTAAAAATATTTAACATGTTGATTTTGAAAAGTTAAGACACAAATTGTGTTTTTAAAAAGTTATACCTCCATTATGAGAGCTGGAAAGCTCCCTTCAGAGTGTCTGAGTGCCCTCTGCTGCTGTCTCACCCATGTACCCCACAACTGGAAGGGCATGGGAAGATGCCATGAGAGGACAGAAAAGGGGGGAAATCTTTTTGGTTTCAGATAATTCAGGTTTTGACTAGTTTCTGCACAAAGGAACCAAAGGAATTCCTAGTGTAGATTTGGATCAGGGCTTTAGCTCCAACTCCAATCTACTGACCAGGGAAAGTAAAAGCCTGAATTGAAAGAACAGAGGGCAAGTGACAGAGAGAAGAGAGAGAGGGAGGAAGGGAGGGAAGGAGGGAGGGTGGGAGGGGGGAGGAGAGAGCGCGTAGTCCAAAATTACTCATGCTGGTTTAGCCTTCGATGCTGTTTTTCACAATACTTTTTTTAAATAAAGATCTGAAAAAAACTCTGCATCCTGTTGAAAATTAACTACTTAGAAATAACAATGGTTGCATTTTATTTGAGCAAGTACAATCTAATATAACAAAGTACAGTTTTCTCCTTGTATTTATCGTTTTCCTCTCTGATGGAATTATGTGTCAGTATGTGAAGAGAATGGCCCTGAAATATCTTAAATCTCATTCTATGTAAGCTATTATTACACAGTAGCCCATGGTAAAATGGGTTTTTAAAGAACAAACACTGTGTTAAAAATACATTTGGAATCCTAAAATGTATAAATATGAAACATACTTATGAGAAAATGGATTTACATAGAAAAAAGCTACCCAGAAAGCATAAAGATTAAAATATACCATGTTTAAGTAGTTCAGTATCAGGCCTGTGTCTATAGGATGACCTTAGCAAAGACGAGGCACGCTAAGTTTCTGAGGACCGCAGTCTACAATTTTAACAGTAGTCATGAGGTCATGGCTAGCCAACTGGCAACAGCTCTGCTTGTCTCAAACATGCCCAGATTGCTTAATAGTTTTGATTGTAGTATAGAAAAACACTGTGTTGGTTTCACAAATCCTCATGATGTAGTATTTTAAAGGTGCACCTTAGGCACACAGGAAACATGTACTGGAATGTTACTTTGAAGAAAACTGAGAAGTGTGGCTGCCAGTGGGAAAGGTCCTCAGTTTCAGGCAAGCATAGTGCTCAGGCACATTTAAATACATAGCAGGAGTTCATTTCCTTTCTTTTCCCATTTCGAATGATTTAACATCATCAACTACCTAGTTTAATATGAAAAGGTGGTGTAATCCCATGATTCCGGATCAGTCATTTCTATATCCAAAAATCCACATTCTGAAACTTTTAAGATTAAAAAAATGCAGTGACAGCTCTAGATTCTACACAACACTGTTGTACAAGATGTGCAATGTTCATGCAACTTACTGCTGCTGTGTTCAGCGAGGGTTTGTAGGCAGTATCTGCTGGAGTCAGAACGGAGAGCTACAAAATCATGCTATTTCAGTAGCAAAAGCTTTGGTTTCAGGGACAAATTAGATGAGCAAGAATTGAGTTCCTGTGCACCTTTGAGAGCTTAGCTGACGCCCCAGCTCTCATAGGCTGCTCCTAACTTCCAGAGCAGGGCAGGCGCTCAGACATCATCAGGATGGCAGCCATTTTGTCAGTGGCCCACACACCATTCTTCCAGAACCCGTTTTATTCAATATTGATGGCCACATGCTTCACAGAAGCCTGGAAACCCTCCCAGTCCCAGGGGTTGAATCTTCACTAGTAATCCAGTGCTTTTAATTCCATCCTCCTTGCCAGTGACTGGTGGTGATGAAAATCTAGCTAGTGTGGCTCAGAGGGGATCTGTTGCTGAAGGTCCTTTGTGCAAGTTGTCCTTACTCTTAAAACAGGACAAAAGAAAAGGTGCCACCTGTCCCCTCTCGGGTGCCTGCAAGTGGCAGCAATATTAGGATGGGAGAACCAGCCTAAGCAGGGAGAACGATGGGAAGGAAGAATCTGGTCATGATGCCGTGAAGTCACTAAATTAAGCAACCCTGGGATTTCCTACCTCTGGGCTTATTTTGTGAGTTAAAAAAATGTCCTTATTGTTTACAGCACTGGGGAGAGGAAGGGACACATGGTATTTTTGGCCCCAAGTAATCAGACGCAATCCCCTTCCAATGAAATGACCACTTTAAGTGGAGTATACAGAAACACGCATGCACACAACTCGTTTTTAAACTGAACTAATTCTTGTGTGAGCACTAACTTGACCTTCTCCAGCTCCTAAATTCAAACTCCTTGAAGTAGAGTGCACGCTCTCATTCCTTGTCTAGAGGACCCTTCTCCCCAGCACCATCACTTACTTCAAGGCCAGTTGAAAGTCTGCCACCGACAGAATAGTTTCTTATGGAATCCCTGCCTATATCTTTCTCTAATTCTAACACATAGCATTTACTACGTCTAACTTTTTACTTCTTGTCTGCTGATTCTTGTGTCTCCTTCTCAGAGTCTACCACTGAGCACACATTTGATTTAGTGAATGAATGAATGACTGACTGACTGACTGAGTACAAAGCATCATTTCCTTCACTTGAAACTTGGGGAGTTTTTCTTTTCCTTTTTTCTCCCTTGTCTTCTTTCCTCACCTTACTTCTCTGTAGAAGAAAAGACAAAAATTGAGATAATAGAAATTCAGAGCTCTGACTCTGAAGGAAAAATAAATTTCTAAAGAAAGCCCATTGGGCCGGCCAAGTGGCGTGTTGGTTAAGAGCTGGCTTGGGACGCCAGCTGAGCGCAGCAGGGCCCCAATTTGGATCCCACATGAGGGCCAGTGACACTGCCCTCTACAGCTAAGATGGTGAACAACAGCTCGACCTGGAGCTGGGCTGCAGTGAGTCGCTGGAAACGGCGTAGGCTGCAGCCCCTGCGGCAGTGGGCTGCCATAAGCTACCGTGTGTGGCCGGCAGCCAGCATGAGCGGCCAGCAGCCAGTGTGAGCTGCCAAGAGCCCCTGTGAGCTGCCGTCCAGAGGCCAGCAACCGATCTGCCTCACCAGGGAAGAGCGCAATGATAATACCAACATTGGCCAGTGAAGCAACATCCTCCACAACGAGACTGAAGAACAAAAGGACAGCAACTTGTCTGTTCCCCTTCCCCGATTCCCCAGCGCTGTTCCCCTCCCCCAAATCCCCAATAAAATCTTTAGGGGGGGAAAAAAAAAAAGAAAGCCCAAAATGGCACACCCTGCCTTCTGGGAGTTACAGGTAAGTGACAGAATTATGAGGATATAGTGGGAACAGCAGTTAGATGCTACAGAAATGACGTCCTGATTCTGTACCTCTCTATATGTACCAACCAGTGCCACTATTGAAACTAGAGGTGGGGTGGGGACATCCTTAACAAATCAGAAGTTATAGTAGAAAATATAGCAGAGTCTAGCACATAGACGGCCTTCAACAAAGGTCTCATGAATGAGAGATGGCATAGTATCACATGGTTAGGGCTTTGGGTTTGTACCTTGAAGCTTTTTATTATAAACACAGAATGAAATGTAGATACCAATAATAATGCCGCCGCCCCAATGTCATGAACTTCATCTGAATGTGCTTACATAAAAATGTTTGATCTCATGTAGACTTCAAGCTGTTCCGAAGTGGAAAATAAAATCTTGGGTTGTTTTGTCTTTACTTTAAAACTCCTATGGCTGTTAGCTAAAACTCAAACTAGAAGACCATTGGCAGATTTCAAGACCATGTGCAGAAAGGCCTGCTCCGTCACACGAGCTGAACCTCTAAGAGCTGCTCTTTCATATTACAGCTCTGGGGTCATCCTTCTGAGGAGACGGCAGAAAGAACATTTGCTGAGATCATGATTTCAGTGTGGAAATCAGCTTGCGTACCCTTTAAGGTATGCAAATACAGTTCTAACTCTTAACTTTTAACTTGTTCCAGATGTTAACAACTAGTTGTAAACTTTCATTAGGTAATATCAAACCGACACTAAGAACTTCTGCAAGATCTTTTATATTACACAGTATAGTAAAAACTGTAGAAAATGTTGAAATAGTTAAATGACCACCAAACACTACACGTGTAACCAACATGGTTCTATTAAAAACGCTCTCCAACTATGGCATTCAAAGACAGCAATACAATATTTTCTTTACAAAGCAACTAATATAAAAATCTGCAAATGCCATAAATTCATCGGCTATTATTTTCATAGAAGCATGTCATTAGATTCTTTCAATTCTTTCTCTTTCAATTCTCTCCAGAGGTATTTTTTGTGGTTTACTTTTATTGTACTACTGGATGCATTATCTTTGATCATCCTTTCCTAAAATGACTTTTAAAAGACCTGCAAAAAATTTTATTGCATAGGACACTATTCAGGACACAGAGATTGGGAACTGCAAATATGTGGCATTGGAACAAGTCTTACAAATATTGCATTTTAAAAATTTGTTACTCTTTTTTTACAGTTTGTCTCTTAAAAAAATTGAAGGTACAGCTAAGAGTTAACTACGTACAGTGAAGCATTGTAGGAATGTTAGCGATTAGAGAATGTGATGAATGATACAAAGGAAAAAAGCCATAATTCTTGCTGGCTATATATTGTATTGCCTTCAAAAGCAACTGTACATGTTGTAATCAGTTCATAATTAAATATTTCTACTAATCTGCTTTAGGAGAGCAAATGTCTCTCAAGGTTTCAAGTTCCTCTATAAGCTTCTTGTTCTGAACTTCCAGCACTGCAACTCGACTCTCCAGACATTTTACATATTCTTTCTTTCGACGTCGACATTCTTTAGCAGCTTCCCTGAAAAAAAGTAGAAGCAAAAGGGCAAACAAAACAATTTTGCATGCTATTGACAAAGAGACTAACGTAAGCTCGGTACACGTGATCATGGTTGCATTCCAACTCTTGGAACAACACTTCCAATTCAATTTCAAACACTAAGCCAAACTGGATTCTTAAGGGTCACAAATGTCCCTTCCACGCGTCCACATGGCAATTAGTAGAACTGCTGCATCTCCTGCCTTGATTAGAGTTCCACAGTAAACAAGGTCCAAGTCAAAGAAAGACAGTTACTCTGCTTTATGGCAATAAAGATCTTTGAGGGCCTTGAGTTCCTCAATGAGAGTCTTGTTTTGGTTTTCAAGCACAGCCACACGATTTTCAAGACATTTGACATATTCTTTCTTCTTCCTGCGACACTCCCGGGCAGCTTCCCTGGAACCAACACAAGGCAAATGACTCAGGAACAACCTCTCAGCACACTCCAGAGGAGCTCAGTGAACTTTGGTCCCCTAAACGCAACAGCCAATCAATCCTAGGTAAGGTCTGTACAAAGCCACACAACAAATGTACCCAAGCACATGCCTTTTTGTAAGGTGACTCTAAGACAACAGGAACAACTGGAGAGCACAGTTTGCCCAGCATTCCTCGTAAATGGTGTTTCCTTAGGGCACACATTCCATAATAACAGTGACCAGAGTGGTTTTCCGTAACCTAAAACAATAGGACCACATCCCCAGGTGGAATTTCTACAGAAACATTTACAGATCCTTTCAATTCTCTTAGTTATTTCTGTCCACTATAAACTACATATTCCATCACAATGAGTTAACTGTATTTGATCAAAACTGATTAGAAAAATTAATCTTCGGTAACCTTAAATGTCAACACTGGCGATTTTCATTCTTCAAGACTAAATCAGTGAAACAAATAAGATCAATCACGACTGCAAGAATCAGTTTATTGGTTAGAAAACAACATGGAAAACAATATAAAAATGACAATAAATGAATCATAAATCATGCACATTTTTATAAACCAAAATGGACTCCGCTTCTGAAAATTAAAGGGTACATAATACAATACTCAATAATTCAGACGATTTAAATCCAGGAATGTGAGAACACCACAATTAAAATCATGAAAAGGAAGCTACTGAATAACTCAAGACTGTTTTTACTTCAAGACTGTTTTCTCATCACATGCATTCACTATCCAATATACTGAATTTTAAAGCACTGTAGCCATGCCCAAAGGAAAAAACAGACCAGCAGTCAAAGCAACAAACACAAACAGATGAGTTAGTCATTTTCATGCAAAACCCCACCAAAAAAACCCAATAACTACAACCAACATTTTCTCTCTTTCTCCTTTTTTTCAGGGTGAGAGGAGGTGGCAACTACATAATTTAATTCCTCTACAGAATGTACCCTCTGTTAACAGCTTTATTTTGGAGTATTCAGTTCAGAAAACTATCTTTGGGGTATCCTTCATATCAAAAAAGCCTACATTGAAACATAATTCAAATATATTTTAACAAAAGTTTTGTTGAATGTCTAAACACCAGCTCTGTCATGCCAATTAGCTTTGGCAATTCTGAACTAGGAGTGATGCGTAAAACAGATATGGCCAATACTTTTATTTTTAGGATAGTTGACCCTTACCAACAATTGGTTATCTGTGTTTCCTCTGTGGGAAGCAAGAGTCAGCAGAAAAGAGACCTTGAAATCCCAATGAATTGTAGAAAAGATCACCCCCTACTTCCTAGCTGAAAACAATGCACTCACCCTGTGAACTCAGAGTTCTCAGATTTCTCAACTGGTTAACAAAAAAGTAACAAATGTACAAGCGAACTGAATCTGATAAGTACAGATTAATTTCATCTAAATGATGCACAGGAATAAGTTAAGAATAAACCCTAGCAAGCTTATCAATTTTCCAGTTTGGGAACACAATTCAACTCCTCCACAAAGGAACTAATATACATTCATGGATAGCACGGTTTTCATGAGTAAATCATTATATTAAATTCTAGACCTGGAAGGAGGATAATCATTTTATAAAATGAGCTACCATTAAATGAAATTTTAAATATCTAATAGCAATGTTGTGGGATGTTTAATTTTAAAAATTTTATTTACCAAGGAGTACTATTTATTGTAAATATCCATACTTCACATTTCATGTGTGTGAATGTGTGTTACCAGGGTCAAATGTTCTAAGCACAAAGCTTTAAACGATCACACTAGGAGATGGCACATTCCTAAGGACTTCTCAGCTATGGAAAACACCTGTTTCTTCTATTAATAGTTAGCTCAGTTTTCAGGCCCTGCATTTGTCTGAATATAATATCCTCAACACGGAGAGAGAAATACATGGCAAAGAGGAAAAGCTGACCAGGCTGTAAAGAAATAAAAACTGCAGCCAGATTTGTAGAAATATAATTAAGTACCTGTTATAAATGCCAGCCAAAGAAAAGAGAAAATATATAAAAGTTCTTTCACATTAATAAGTAAAACCTACATTCTTTCCATGAAGTTAAATCTGAAGCATACACTGAGGTCTTTTTTGAGGTTACTCTGGTGTTAGTGCAGTGGACAGACTCTGGATAAACAGCCTGATTGCATATCCAGGTTCTGTCCAGTTTGCGATATTAACCAACTTATTATGTAAACTCTCTGAATCTCAGCTCCTCATCCGTAAAGTAAATAACCAGACCTATTCTCATGTGACAGTTAAAGAAACAGTAGAAATAAAGCACTTAAAACTTGCATATGGTACCTACTCAACAGATATTGAACCTAATAGCCATTTATCATTTGCTTTTCTCTTGTCTTGCTCTGACATTGAGATTTGGAAAGCCAAAATAGACCCTTCTTAGGATCCCTTGCAGCTAGAGATATTAGCTACTTGTAGTCAATCAACTATAGGTCAAAGTTGCTGGCAGGGTCTTCCAGGAGGGGTCACATTCAACCAGCCTCCGGTTTTAGCTCCAGCATTTCTCCCTTGTTCCTGACGGATGCAATGCCTGGGAGGTGTGGCAGCCATGCTGTGATCATAGGGACGAATGTCACACCCTGGAGATGACAGAGCAGGGAGGAGGAGCCTGGGTCCTTGATGACACTGCTGAGCCTGTGTTCTGGCTGCACAGGCCTTGGGACTGGCAATAGAAGATCAAAATGCAACCTTCATGGTGAAGCCTCCATTCCCCTTAGTTATTTAGAGCCCAAACACAAATGCTATCCAATAACTAACTAATTTTTTTAAAACCCAAAATTTTATGATTTTTCTTCTCTCAGAGAGATCGCATATGCATGTGTAGGAAGCTTGGGGCATGGGCATGTTTATAGGAACCCACTGCCTAATATTTTATCTATTTCATTTTGGTAATTCTGACAACATTTTCTAATGTAAAAATAAAGGTATAAAATGACAAAAGGGAAATCAGAAGGCTACTTGCCTAGTCCTTCCTTTTTATTTTCTTTGGGAAAATAAGACACTGATGAACACTTTTACAGTTTGCATTATCATCACACTTTACATTTCCAAACTGAACTTCACAATGTACATTCTATGACCAGAGAGGCAATCATATGTATAGCTCCTAAAAGTGCAGTTTTAAAGTATCCATCCATATTCCTCCACTAGATCCAAGTTAGGGATCTTTCTTAACAATGCCTCCATAAAACAACTATGATACTATGTGAGCCCCACCCACTCAGCCCCTTCAGAATTTCTGAGCAAAATGCTGATGATGCAAAATGTGAATCCAGCATGACTTAGTAAACCTGGAACAACCACTGGTAAAGATGTGCGTACCTAAAGATGCTATTTCTGGTAATCTGTGAAGTTCTCCAGGGTACAAAACTCCATCTAGCGATCTATGATAACGAATAAACTCAGGAACTATATCCAACTTAAGGAGTCCTATAATATATCAAATTGTGACATTTAAAAGGCTGTCAGTAAACTGAATAAAGCTGCTACTGCTTCACCCGCAGTTACAAACGACAGTGATGAACTCAGCAGTTATCTCTCAATTTTAGGAGCTAAGAAGCCACAATTTCGACATTAACTAGGTTGCTAACACCTAGTAAGTTAACGACCACCAGGTGGTTCCAATCATAGGCAAACACATGATCCCATCTGAAATGTTTTGTTTTCTTACAATGAGGACATTATTCAACATTTAGAAATAAGGTGACAAGGCTACTGGGAAAACTCTTAGAATACTCTTATTCTGTGCATTTTGAAAATCAGATTAATTTATACCATTTGAAACCAAGAAATGAAAACTGAAAACCAAGAATATGCCAACTAGATTTAAAAAATAATTTTGGAAAATGGCATTTGTGATATATTGCTGTTTAAAAAGTAAAATTATAGAGATATGGTGCAAGAATAAGAGAGAGAATGAGAGACTGCAGGCTGGGAAACATATACTATAATATTAGTAGGTATCTCTAAGTGGTGGGGATATGGGTAATTGTAATTCTGTTGTTTTGTACTTGCATTTGACTAGAATTTATCAGAATAAAGATGTATTTCAGTACAATAGAGAAAAACAAAGTTACAAAATAGATAAAAGGAAACTACATGTAAAAAACTTAGAAAATTCTTAACTCACACTTAAAATTTATTTTGCTCATAAAGAAGCTAGAAAATTATACTTATCACCTAAATTCACAAAGTAAATGCCAAGTACAAAATAAATCTTTATTTGTAATAAGGTCCTTCCATTATCATTAAAAAAAAATTAATGTGTCTTTTAGACATCACTCTTACAACACACAGAGCTGCATTCTCCTGCTGATGAAATGGTTTCATGGTTAGGAACTCTATCAGAGAATCTAATTATCATCACACGCAGAGCACAAACCCACATAAAATGCCACTTAACAATGAATTTGGGAGAAATAGGAAAAGTAATGTTTTTAAAAGCCCCACAGTAGCAAATTATGTGTCCTATTAGTAAGTGGTTGCTGATTTCTAGTGAACCGTCTTACCTGTTTTTCATTAGCCTCAGCTCTCGTTTGCGTGTGGCTTCTTCTGCGAGTTGCTGAGGGCTATGCAAACTTCCTGGTGAGGCAGCCATCACTACTCCCTGGGGCAAACCAGTAGTAGGAGCTGGGATCTGGTAAGTTGGCATGTCACCAGTGGCAGCTGCAATAAGCAAAATATGACACACTTACATAAACAATTTACAACTTGATATTTTATATAAAATTGACCTGGGAATAACATAACCCGTTTTTACAAGCCACAAAAGGTGATCTTACTAATGTTTTAGATGATTATTCTGAGCATTATGGAAATCTTAGGTCAAAAGATCTTCTTCAAGCACTTGGAACAATGATATTCAGCATGCTCTACACATTCAAGGTAAAAAATTGCCCTAATGCATTTTAGACAGGTCTTTATCAAAGGCTAAAGTAGAGAAGCTCTTCAACTGAGAGTTCACTGAGCCTAAAATGGGTGGTGTGCTGATGAATGTTTAACCACCAGCTCTCTGGGGCAAAAAACCCGGAGCTGGAGCATCTGTCGATTCCCACGATGTAAATACTTTCACCGTGGCCAATTTCAAGCTACCAGTGGGACCTCACTGAATGTGGAGCTGAGAAGACATACACACCATACAGATAAAATTGATGTAAACAACCTCAAGAGTATAGATAGTTAGAAATGATGAGTTTGAGCATTTATTAACATTATTTAAAATGTAATTTGTTAAATATATTTAAATTTTTTAATAGTTATTTTAATGAACAGTTCACAAAAATCCTACAAATTTAAAAATCGGCTGTAGCAAATCAGTGGGAGCTGGCTCTAGCAGACCACTGCAAAAATTTTAATTACGCAGAACATCTCTATCCAGTTAAACAGATTTTCCTATACCCTATATCATACCTGTAACAGTCACCTAATGTCTTTAAGTGCAAGTTCTATACCTGAAGATGACTGAGGTACTGGACAGAAAATATCAGCTCACTGTATTTTTATTTAAAAGCAAAAAATAAAAAACAAAACAGAAAAGTTCACTTAAAACTGGTTTCTTTGGGAAATAATTTTTGTCTATTTTAGGTTTCTTGGGATAATAATACATTCCTAAATTTTCATTAAAAATATTTTCTAATTATAGTATATCATAGTTAAATGAGATTTAATAGCTATTTAGTATACAAATTGAATACTAAAAGTCCTCAGAGGGTCCTAATTTATATTCAAAAATGTGTATATCTACTGCAATAAATAGCTTCCTAGGAAAGATAGGTGGATTTAAGTGATGAAACATGTTTCTATCACCAACGTTTCAACTTTGAGAAAGTATGGTCCAGATTCAACTTGATATTCTGATGACATATTACAAAATACATGCTCTCTCAAAACTGCAAGAAAATGATTTTAAGTTATTAAATCCTATAAAAATTGGTCTGAACCAAATGCCAATCAAAATATGAAACACATTGTTTCTATATTTCATTAAAATGTATTATACCCATTAAGTAAGAACCGAAATTTTACTCAAAAGGGGGACAAAGACTTTTTTCACGTAAATGGAATATTACCACTGAAACTAGCCAAGCAGTTTAAAAGGTTAATCAAAAATTGATTTATATGTTTCTTTTTGGGTAAATGACAGGTTTCCACTCCCCACCCCAGGTTCAAGAATTAGGTGAAAGAATAAAATAAAAATATGGCTTTGGGGCAAAGTCACTTAAAGGTCTTTACAAGATTAATAAAAATAGCATTTATAAGATTGTACTACTTCTGCCTTCCATAATTTAAGAAACTATGGTGATAAGTAGTAACTGTGGTAAATATAATGATCACCAACAAAATCTCTATTAATAAACTTGGGGAACTCTTAAATTTGTTTTTGTGACTATTTAAAATACTGTGTACACAGATGTCTCGTTATATGTCATAGGAAACTGTATAGCTTTGAAATATTTAGAAAGAATTTTAAAGTCGGTTCTAAACTGTTAATAAAGACTTTTTAAAAACTATTTTAATTATATTGTCAGAGGAGATGGAATGGAGCATAGAATTAATAATCCTCTCTTTTCTTTACCCACATTCAGGGAAGAAGGTTATGGTATAATAAAGGTTGAAACAATGGAGCAGCTGGGTGCTACACAGGCTTTCTAAAACTGGAACAATAGCCAGTGACGAAGGAGAAGTTTCCGTGTCATCATGCTGACATTTGCAGGCAGCATAGATGCAGGCCTGGTATAGGGTTGTTCTTGCCAAACACTGCTCATAAATTAGTGCAATAAAATAGAAAGGTCCAGAAGGGTTCAAAATACTCTCTAGTTTTGTATACATCTGCTTTTTTTTCTGTACTCAAAGTTAGAGCAGGATGTTTAGGGCATACAAAAGTTAGTTTAAGAGGATCCATTTTTTAAAAAAGAAACAAAGACAGGAATATTTCACAGATGAAAAAGAAAGTTCACTCATTGGTGTTAGAACCAGAAATGGTTCTAAGTTTTTGCCTGTTTCCAAAAGCTGAAGCCACCCTCCAAGGACCAGATTTGGCACCATGAAGGATAATGGCAATTCCAAAAGAAGCACTCCTAGAACATTCTAAGCAACAGCTCAGAAAAAATATCACTTTAAGACAATAAGTTGTAAGGGGTGATATATTTGGATGTATTAGCTCTCGAATGTTAGCTAACAAACTGGATTTTATTATTTTTCAGGCATGCTATATGTTCATTTTATCTTCAACAAAAATCAGATTGTAGCTCACTATTAGTTCAAGCCAGAAGTATGAATTGATGTAAATTAGCGGGAATCAGTATAAATTTCTGTAATAGCCCAAAGAATCTATATGATGGTACCCTTCTAATGGTCACTGAATAAATATCAATAAATTCCACATATCAAAATATGATCTTATTAGTAAATACATTAAAAAGATATGGGCAAAGAAAAGCTTTTGTTTTAAGGAAATCCAAATGTCAAAGTTTTGTTTTTGAAACAAGTTATAAAAAAGTTTTTATATAAAAGTTAGCTTCAGTTTCTAATATTATGAATTTGGTGGTAATTTAAAGCATTAGATACCTAGGATCACAGTTCAAAGAACCACCCTTCATTTTGATGGCATGTTCTTATCCCTGTACTGTTATAAAGGCTAATTCCTGTTCCATTTAACTATTGGGTTGTCGAAAAAGTCATGACGCATTTTTGCAACGAAAAACACAGAAAAAATACGTCATGACTTTTCCGACAACCCAATACTAAAGGTGCCCAAGTTATTTTTTATTCTAGAATTTCATTATATAAATTATTTCTGAAAATAAATGGGTCATGAGTGGGGGCTTTAAACTCACGACTGAAGAAATGTACTAATAAAAAAGATACACTAATTTTATTCTAAGGCAGCAAACTCTTTAGACAAGTCAGGGTGTCTATTTTACCTTGGTACCCCTAGAATCTAGCACAGTATTTGGCATATAATGGGTGCTTGGTGAGTTTATTTGAGCACTATGAAGTAAATATTGAACTTCTCAGGGTTTTGCACAAGCCCATCTGGAATGTTTTAAATAAGCAATCTTATTATTGTAAGACTATTATTAGCTACTATTATAGCTAAATCTTTAACACTAAGACATGGAAAGCCCTAAAAGATGCTATCCATCTATTCAAACTGGTCTTTCTTTTAAAGATTTTTATTGGGGAATTAGGGGAAGGGGAACAGATAAGTTGCTGTCCTTTTTGTTCTTCAGTCTAGTTGTCAAGGACATTGCTTCATTGGCCCAAGTTGGCACCATCATTACGCTCTTCCCGGGCGAGGCAGATCAGTCACCGGCTTCTGGACAGCCGCTCACAGCGGATGCTGGCTGCTCATGCTGGCTGCTGGCTACACACAGTAGTCCATGGCAACCCAATGCAGCAGAGGCTGCAGCCTACCCCATTGCCGGTGACTCATAGCAGCCCAGCCCAGGAGCAGCCCAGCCCAGGTTGAGCTGTTGTTCAGCATCTTAGCTGTAGAGGGCAGCATCACTGGTCCTCATATGTGGAATCCGAACCGGGGCCCTCTGGTGTCCCAAGCCAGCTCTTAACCAACACACCACTCGGCTGGCCCCAAACTGGTCTTTCTTTATCCAGGGCATCATTTCCTAAATCTTCCCTTAGATACCGGTCATCTAACGTGGCATTTTAGAAGCAGAGGGGTTCTAATGATAGTGTTTCCAACGATCTAACTCTTGATATAAAAAAATGTTTTAGGTTTGGTATCAAGTATTTCATGGGAAAAGAAAATTCCTAGAACTCTTAATTCTGCTAATTAACTTCATACCTCTCTTGCAAGCTTTAAACATGTTACAGCAGAAAAAGCATGGAATTTGGAGTCTGGGTTCTAGTCCAGCTCTGCCACTTACCAGCCATGTGACTTGGGGCAAGTTCAATTTCCTCATCTGTAAAATGGGGATACATTATCTCATTTAATACTCACAACAAACCCTGTAATATATGTCAAAGTGTCTAGCACAGTGCCTGGCATATGGTAGGCATTCAGCAAATGTTAGTTCCCTTCCTCTTCCCTTGCTTAAGTTCTGAAAGACAATGTTCCAAATTATGCTTATACTGTATATTAGTGAAAAGGCATATAACATCCATAAATATATTTTCCCCTGGAGTTTTCCTTCTAACAAAACTGAGTAATAGAATGATTGAAATGTATGGCTCTTATTCCTTATTTTGTTTAAAAATATGCCTATTAAAAAAACTTTTAAAATTTATACTATATTTTATTATACCCCTTTAGAGAATAAATTACTAAAAGATAACATTATAAAACATCCTTTTCAATGTATATAATCATTTAAAATACAACCGGGAAGGAGGAGAATCACAAACCACCAAATGATACAATCTGATCAGACTAGTAATAAGAAAAACGCAAAAACCCCACAACTCAAAAAAGTGTTTGTTTTTTCCTAACAAAGAAAGAAGAAACCCAGACAAATGCCAATGTTGCTAGTATCCAAAGTGAAAGTTTATCAACACTCCCAAATGGTGCTTTTATTTGCTAGTTTGCTTGTTTACTTATTTATTTAGTATTTATTTATTTAGAGTGCTATAGTACTGAATACATTATCTGAACACTTTTATATATGGAGCGCCTATCTTCATGTCATTTCACTTCATGTCATACACCT